AGGGCGATGGGACTATGGGGCTGTAGGGCTATGGGGCTGTGGGGCTATAGAGCCATAGGGCTATAGGTCTATAGGTCTGTAGGGCTATAGGGCTATAGGGGCATATGGCCATATTGCTGTAGGGCTATGGGGTTATGGGGATAAAGGGCCATAGGGCCATAGGGCTATGAGCATATAGGGCTATGAGGCTATAGGGATGTAGGGCCATATGCATATAGGGCTACAGGGCTATTGGGCTATGGGGCTACAGGGCTGTTAAAGCTATAGGGAGTTAGGGCTATAGGGCTATAGGGCTATAAGGCACCCGGGCACTTGGGGGGGCCGTGGAAGTCGGTGGCAAAGCTCACCCAACCGTATGAATCCGCTCGGACATGCCCACTGCTCCTGGCCAGGCCCATCCCTTGGCCCAGGAGCGACGTGCACGCCCTCCTGGCGTGGCCAGGCAGGCACATGCGCCGCTCCTGGGCCCGGGCTGGGCCTGGCCGGGAGCAGCGGCTGTGCACAGACCTCGTCGCCCTGTCTCGGTCGGTTTCGGACCGCGCTGCCGCCGTGGACGGCCCCGGGGCGAGGAGGGCGAGGCGGGCGAGGAGGCGAGGAGAGGCAGCAGCTGCGGGGCGGGTGTGCGGCAGCGGCAGGGCGTCAGGCCTTCCTCCCTCCCCCTCTCCTCCTCCTCTTCCTCCTCCTCCTCCTCCTCCTCCTCCTTCTCCTCCTCCCCCTCCCCGTCCTCCTCCTCCTTCTGATCCCCCTCCTCGTCCTCCTCGACCCCCAGCCCACTCTCTCCACCATCCATGCCATCCACGCGGCCGGTGTGCATTTTAGCATTCTTCGCAGCGAATTTCATGTAATTATTGTATTTACCATGGGTTTCGTTGAGTTATCCGAGATGTGCATCGTCATCGTCATCGTCGTGATCGCGACGCGTGTCCGTCACCATGCCATATGACGAAAGTCGCCGCGTTGGCTAATACTGGGGCCGCTCTTTACGGTTATAGATTGGATGCGTGGTAATTTGGAAACCCAGGCCCGCGCGGGCCCGCGCCAGGATACATGTTAATTCGGAAATTCAATCGGTCGCCGCTAAAGGTTCACTTCAGTTGTTCGGTTATCATGGCTGCGCAGCTTAAGAAATCAGGAACTCCCCGCGTGGCGCGCGCGCTCGTCGTTCGCCGCCCGCCGCCCGCCCTCCGCGCACCCTCAGAGAATACGTGCAGCAGGGCCGATGTTAATTTGGAAATCGAATCGGTCGCCGATGGGTTCAATTTAGCTGCCAAGGCAACATGGCAGGGAAAACGCACACGACCCATATGAATCTGGACATATAGTCGTTCGCCGCTAAGGCATCTGAAGGTTCCAAGGCAACATGGCGGCTTCCTTATATATTTTAGGAGAAAAAAATCCCCGCGGGCAGCCCGCCGCTTGCCGCCCGCCTTCCGCGCGTCGTGGGGGGAAAATGTAAAGGGGCCAGTGTGAATCTGCAAATCCATCGGTCGCCGCTATAACGGCCCACTTCAATATCCGAGCCAACATGGTTGCTTTTCTATTGCGGATGCTCGAGAATTCTCCACGCGGCGGGCGCGCGCGCGGCGGGCGGCGGGCGGCGCGCGCGCGCAGTTCGTCGTCCGCGGCCCGTCGACCGCCGCCCATTTTCCGCGCGCCATCAAAGAAAACATGCGCCGCGGCATGCTAACTTGAACCTAGTCGCCGCAATGGGTTCATGTTGGTTTCCAGGCCAACATGGCTGCTTTCGCACTGTGGACAAGCAGGAATTCCACGCGGCGCGCGCGCGCGCTCGCCGACCGCCGCTTGCCGCCGCGCGCCATCCGAGAACGCGCGCACAATGACCTGCGCCACCAAAGGTATTGCTTTTGTTGCCAGGCCGACATCGCAGCTTTTTTTTTTCTGAGAGAGAGGGGGGGGGCGCTCGGGAATGCCCAGCGCTGCGCGCGCAGCCGTCGGCGGGCGGCGGGCGGCGCGCGCGCGTCGCCCGCGGGCCGCCGCCCGACTGCAAATCTAGCATGGGGCGATGCAGCGCCCCATGCTGCGGCCTAGAATGCAGATTTTACATGTGGCCGTCGATGATTAGTTCTGGGCGTTGTGACGGATCAGGGCGATCGGTGCACCATGCGACGCGCTGGCGCGCGCGGCAGCGGGCGCCGCCGCGCGCGCGGCGGCGGCGCCCCGCCCGCACGGCGTCTTGCGAAGCTAGCAGGTGGCGATATGTCACACCACGTTGTGGCGCAGGGCGCACGTGTAACATTTTCTGTTGTAAGAATTTCGGTCTGGGCGTCAAGATGGCCCGTGGCCGCCAGTTTTCCGCGCGCGGCGCATGCGCGCGCGGCCGCCGACGCCGCCGCGCGCGCGTCGGTGTCGACGCGCCTGCGCGCTGCATAGCAGGATTCGCAAGTGGCAGTACGTCACGTCATGTTGTGGCCCAGGACGCAACCCTTTTTCATGCGAGTTGCAAAGGCCTAGCGCCGCGCGCCCAGATGGCCCAGAACTATCGGTTCCCAATGCGGCGCCCTGACACGCGCACGGCAGTTGGCACCGCCGCGCGCGCGGCGGCGCCGCCGCGTCCGCGCGGCGCGCTGCAAATCTAGCACGCGGCCTCGGATCGCCCCACATTGTGGCAAAGGGTGTATTTTGTTACAATCGGTTGTCGCAATTTGGTTCTGGGCGTTCAGATGGCCCAGGGCCACTTGCCCCCTAGAGCTATCGGCCCATGGCGCGCGCATGGCGGAAGTGTTAACGCATGTTTCCAACATTGGTTCCTGTGCGCTCAGATTGCCGATGGCCCGCGGTTCGCCATGCGTCGCGCTGGCGCGCCCATTCCAGCTGGCGCCGCCGCGCGCGGCGGCGCCGCCGCGCCCGCGCGGCGCGTTGCGCGCCTGGCAGGTGGCAATGGATCACCGCATGTTGCGGTCGAGGGCGCCAATGGCACGCGTGGGTTGCAGAGCTTTTCTGGGTGTTCAGGTGGCTAATGGCCGCGCGTTCCCCATGCGCCGCGCTGGCGCATGCGTCGCGGCGGCGCGCTCGCGGCAGCTGGCGCCGCCGCGCGCGCGGCGGCGCCGCCGCGCCCGCGCGGTGCATTGCACGTTTCGCAGGTGGCGATAGGCCACCATGCGCCCTAGCGTAACATGCATTTGTGCACGCAGATCGATGCGTAACCTTGCGGCCCTTTCACGCGCGCGGGCGCGCGGACATGCGCGCACGTCGGGTTCTGTTTTCACCGAGCGCCGCCCCCGTAGCGGCGACCGATTGGATCTCCAATGTCGCGCGCTGTTTCATGTGAGTCACCGCGGGGTCTTGCGGCTCTTCCCCGCGCGTTCGGGCACGGGCGCCATGCGTTTGCTATGTTTTGTGTTCCCGAACATATGGGTCGCCATATGGCTGTCTAGCAGTGAAAGCCGCCATTTAGCGGTGGCTGGTTATACCTTTCCAACTTAACAAGATGTTGTATATGTACGTCAATCTGGATGTTCGCAGGACCGCCTCGCGCGCATCCGCGCGCGTTTTCGCGCGCCCTGGGTCGGGTGCATTCCATGGCGCAAGATAACGGCGTTGGCTCTGGAAAGGGAGTCGCCTCGCAACGGCGATCGATTGGAGTTCCACTTGAATGCGCAGCGTTGCATGTGAGTCAAAGAAGAACGGCCGGTTGTCTTCTCAAGCGCGTTGAAGCGCGAGCGCGCGCGTTCTCGCGCGTGGTGGGCATAGTATTCACCAGATGAGAAAAGGCGCCATGTTGGCCTGGAAACAAAGGTCGCCCCTTATCGGCGACCGCTTGGACCCCCAACCCAACGCGCAACCCCACGAGGTCAACGCAGAAACTTGCGGTGTTTTCTCATGCGCGCTTTGGGCATTGTATTCTCCGCAATGAAAGAGACCGTTATGTCGGCCGAGAAAGACAAGTCGCCCCTTAGCGGTGGCCGATCGGATTTCCCAGTTAACATGTTTTTTTCGCATGTCAAAATGGAACATTGCTGAAAGGGGAGCGCGCGCGTGTCTGCGCGGACGCGCGAACGCGCGCGTCGTGGGTTCGGCATGCCACATTTTCGCATGCTAGCACTGGCGGCCTAGAAGCCGAAGTCGCCCCTTAGCGGTGGCCGATCGGATTCCAAATTTAACATGCGGCTCCTAGTGCGCAGTCGTATAACCTTGCTGGGCCGTCTCACGCGACGGCGCGCGGGCGCGCGCGTCCAGGCGCGTTTTGGGCCTTGTATTTCCAAGATTAGAAAGGTCACCATGGTGGCCTCGAGGTCGGCCCTTCGCGCCTATGAGCGCATGTCGAACTTAACATGCTGCTTCGCGTAAGTCGACGTGAGACCTTGCGGGGCCGTCTCACGCGCGAAGACGCGCGGGCGCGCGCGCGTCCGCGCGGGCACGCACCCCCTCGGGCGTGTTGGATTTTGTATTTCCCAGGTGCAAAAGATTATGAGGTTGGTCTAGAAACTAGATGACAGCGGACCCCCAGCGGTAGCCGATCTTATTTCCAAGTGAACATGCTCCTCCACGCGTAGGTCGACATGGGACCTTGCGGAAGCGTCTCGCGCGCGCGGGCGCGCGGACGCGCGCGCGTCCGCGCAGACACGCGCGTCCTGGGTTTTGTATTTCCCAGCTGCAGAAGGTTATGAGGTTGGTCTAGAAACTACAGGTGACCCCAGCGGTGACAGATCTTATACCCAAGTTAACATGCTACTTCCCACGTAAGTCGACATGGGACCTTGCGGACGCGTCTCGCGCGCGCGGGCGCGCGGACGCGCGCGCGCGTCCGCGCGAACACGCGCGATCTCGCGCGCGTTGGGTGTTGGATGTCCCAAGTGGAAAAATATGATGTTGGTCTAGAAACTAGGCGGGCCCCAGCGGTGACCGATCACTTTCCAATGTAACATGTTCCTTCACGAAAATTGGCATGGGACCTTGCGGAAACGTCTCGCGCGCGCGTCCGCGCGAACACGCTCGTCCTCGCGCGCGTTGGGTCTTGTATTTCCCAAATCCAAAAAAGCTTGCCATGTTCGCCTGGGAGCGACAACCGCCCCTTAGCGATGACCGATCGGTTTTCCAACTTAACATGCTGTTTTGCATTTAAGCATTTTTTGATTATTGCGGAACCGCCCCACGCGCGCGGACGCGCTGAGCCGTTTCGCCTGAGATTTCCGCACAATCCATTCAGGAACCATGCTCTCGCCCAAACGCAGTCCACCACTGGGGGGGGCGGGAAACCCGAGCAGTCAGGGAGTTGTTTTTCGTGGGACTTCCTCTTTCCCCATGTGTTCCAGAGTCGTGCTCTCGCCTCAGTGCCGGAACGCGTGCTCGCGCGGGCTGGGTTTGGTATATGTTATTGTGGAAGACCGATATCTCGATATATTGGTCTAGGAACAAACGTCGCCCCGAAACGCTGACCGATTGGATTTCCATCTCAGCAGGTGGTTGTACTTGCACGTATGCTGACATCGAACTTTATGATGCCTGCTCAAGCACTACCTTTAAAGTTCTAGGAACCATGACGGTTCATATATGACTTCCCCGTTACAGGACGAGGAGTGGAACGTGGACGGGAGGACGGATACAGGGAGGGACGGCCCAGACACCACCTGAACATGGGCTGGTATCCTCGCCCCTGGTTCAGGTGGTGTTTAGGCCCCTCCTCGTCCTTTGTTATGTCGCCCCCCCTCCCTGTTCCCCCGTGCCCCAGTTCTGCCCCCTCCCCGCTGCGCCCAGGGTTCGGTAAAGGATGCCCCTTTCTCCCAGACTTAGTTTTGCAGGCCCAGCGGGCTGGGGGCCCCGCATGGGGCCCGCGCCAAAATCCGCGACCCCGCTCGCGGGCCACCCAGCTTGCAGCACGGGCCGCAGGCAGGCAGGTGGAACCTTCCCCCGTCGTTGGCGTCGTCGCCGCCGTCGGCGTCGTGGTCGTTCCTCCTCCTTCCCTTCCTCTCCCTCCCCGAGGAGCCCCATAGAGGGCTCCGCCGAAGCCCCAGTGGCAGGGCTCGCATGGCGCCACCGCGTTCATTTCGGCACACCCGTCACCCTCCTCAGTTCTCCTCCCTCCTGCTCCTCATCCAGCTCCTCCTCCTCCTCCTTCTTTTTCTCCTCCTCCTCCTCCTCCTCCTCGTTCAGGAGCTGTCAGGGCCCAAAACCCGAGCGAGCTCCCACAGCGCCGCATGCCATCACGACCACTGATGTGCGAGGCGTAGAGGGCGGCACGCGAGGGCCAGGGCCGACTTGGGACAGTTCCTGCTAGACACGATCTACTCCACCCTCCCATCGTACATATTGCCGCAATGAAGCTGATTTACCACAACGTTCAATGGGCAGATTTTACGAGACTGGAGGAGATATCCACACACACAAAATGCACGGACTTTGTGATATGTATAGGAACAGGACGATGGGCTGAGAGCGCTGACATGACGGCCACCCAATGTCAACTGCCCAACCACAAGTGCGTGCAGATGGGCTGGCGCAAGTCGCGCACATCGAACAACTCCTGCGGGCTGGCGGTCATGCACGGCAAGCGCGCACAGGGATCGCTACAGCAGGTCGCAGTGCCGCCGACAAAGCTGGGGATCACAGGCAGAGTGGGCATGGTGAGATTTGCGATGCAGGGCTTGTCGATCGCCATCTTCCCGATCTACGTACCGCCGAAGGGGATGGCAGCAAATACTCTTCGACAGGTGACAAAAAGAATTCTTCGTTGGATATCAGACGAGATCGACAAACTGGGACATGCATGTGTACCGATAGTGGCAGGAGATTGGAATTGCGGGTTTGGATACCAAGTGGACCAGACGGGCAAGAGATTTGTGCAACATGATAGTGAAGAGATTGGCACGGCCGAACTGACACACGAATCGCAAGTATCACGTCTGGTTCGGGACTTTCTGGAGGAAAATCACCTCAGCATGTTCGACACGTACTGGAAGACGGGGCCTACCTTCTTCAAAGGACCCCATAGTAGTAAGATAGACCACGTAGCGGGACCAGCAGCCATGAGAGGACGTATACAAAGACTGAACACACTACTGGGGCTGGGAAGGCGACTACAACGATATATAAGTACACACCTCCACGACCATGTCCCAGTGCTGATGGAATTAGACATCAAGCCGCAAGAGGTCTTCCATGGCAAGTACACCCCCGCCGTCAACAGAGACCTTATGATGGCCGCATATACCAGCGGAAGGGGACGTCTTGAATATCTCAGAGCGCTGGAACAGGAGGTGACCGACATCCCAGAAGAACAATGGCGAGAAATATGGGATCGAGGTGACGTTCAGGCAGCGTGGGACAAGCTCTCGGAAAGCATACGCAAGGCAATGCAGCAGGTCTTCCCAGCCAAGAAGCAGGACATAGTGGACTACGAAGGTCACAGGAAGAGAAGAATGGAACTACTGCGACTGCGTGGGCGGCTACGGGAACAACTTCATGCTACGGGGCTGAAGAGTTTTACAGAGAATGGAAGCACAGCATTCGATGAGATAGAGGACGAGCTACGCCGACTATCGCGCAGAATGCAGACGTTACGTAAGGAACAGAAGAAAGAAAAGATGGAGACACTAGCTGCAGAGATTCTCCAGGCTTGGAAGCAGGGAAGACATGCTGAAGTACATCGGCTGAGGGTTCAACTTGCGGGACGAGGCCGAGGACCGAAAAAGAGGCTACTGTTTGCACCACGACAGAGTATGACGCTGAGTGAATGGAAGGATGGTCTTGGAAGCAAACCTCACGAAGGAGGAATGGACTGCAGACAGATAGATTGGGACGAGTGGATTGCAGACAAGTCGTTCATGCCCCACATATACGGTTCGCATGAACTGACAGAACACGTGCGACAGGACAGAGCTGGTCAAATCACATATCTGCGACGTGCGCCCAAGCGGCGTGCGGGCCCCGCATGGGGCGTTTTGGCCGAGGCGTTGGGCATGGGCATCGACGCGAGGCGCTACACCAACGAGCATGACAGGAAGTACGTGCCAGTCAATTTTTCTCGTCGTTATAATGATCTACTGGCACTTATTCGGCTCACGGGAGCCTTTCCTCTCACCGCCATTAGATCGCAGGCGTATGCAGCGCCCAAGAATAATTCCAAGCAGGGGATTAAGGGCCAGAGAATCTTGCACTGTTTTGACTCTTTTGGCATGTCATACTTCGGACACCTCCAGAGGACATCTCGAAGACCAAAGGCGCCAGATTTCGCACACGGGGGGATACGAGGTCGTCGGAGAGAGGGAGCCATCTTGAGTTTATCTGCGGCCTGCTGGAGATGCCGCACAGCACGAATAAGTCACAGCATGTCCAACTACGATGGCACGAACGCATTCGCATGCACGGCACGTGACAAACTGCAAGCACATCACCACCGCTGCAGCAGAGCAGAAAACACGCACCTCATGATCCAGGCGATAGACAACGCGAGCATACACATTAATGCAATAAACGGTGAAGCCGATTTCTTGCCGCAGACTGGCACAACAATGGGACACTCTCTTGCAGCAGGAGATTTTATTGATATTTACTCACCCTCTGTGAGCGAGTGGAACTCGTATCTGGGGGAGGCAGATTACTCTTACTCCCTGCTGCGTGGCCAGTGTCCGATCAGCAAGACCACCGTGGACATAGGCATTGGACTTTTCGTTGATGATGTTTCCAGAGTACACGTACATGCATATGCACCGAACGCGAAGTATATCACACAGCAGCTCAACCACGCGACGCACACACTGCAGCAGCACATCAACACGAACGGGCACCACCTGAACATGGATAAGACGAACCACATGATCGCACTTGCAGGCGCAGGCTCTTTTGAGGCGGCCAGGGAACTTGGGAGACAGAAAAAGGTACAGGGAGAAATACTTCGGGAAGTCAGGGTCCTTGGACCGATCATCAGCTTCGACGGGGTCCTCAGGACAGAACTCAAGAGCCGCATCAGAGGAGCGCGTGCAGCATGGCGTTCGCTAGGACAAGTATGGCACGAGCACCTCCCGTTCAAGATGCACCGCATGTTTTTCTTATGCTTTGTTTACAGCGCAGCGATCACAGGTCTCACAGCTTTCGTTTTGCCGAAGGAGTTTACGGACGAGATTGACTCGACACTCGCCAAGCTCCTCAGATGTCTCATGAAAGGCAGTGCGGCTACAGAATATGATAACGGACGAGTACGGACGATTTCCAACAGCGAAGTTTTTGATCATTGGAAGCTTAGCCGCACTGCCACAGAGCTGAGAATTCAGAGAATACGCTGGTGGCAGCAAATTTCGAGGGAGCCTGACAACCATCGTCATGTGCTCACGGCCATGTTCGGGACAACAGAGCTCGACATGCAGCTGGGCAGGCGCAGGCTCAACCAAGTTGGCACGCTGACAAAATACAGTACTCCTTGGGCAGTGCAGTGTCTTGAAGATATGAAGTTTGTTGCGCAGTTTGCGCGCGACTTTGATGAAGCATGGACTGATAAGGAAAACGTCCTCTTGCCGTTCCAGGACTCCACCCTCAGTAAGATCTTTGTGAAGTTAAACATAGGCTCCCTGAGGCCCCTTATGAGCACGAAGAACATTACAAAGTGGAACAAGGTACTACAAAAACTAGGACTTCGGGAGATTTCGGAGGAAAATGCGATCAAGATGGGGATTCTGGAGGTACAGAGTAACGTTAGCAGCAACAGCAGCATCGCAGAGGAGTTCATATGCACGCACGAGAACGAAGACGGCACTATATGCGCAAGCACGTTCAACAGCATGAAGGCATTAACAGCACATGTGACGCACGCACACAAGATGAGGAATCTATATGCGCTACTGGTTACGACAAATGTTTGCCCGTGGTGTCGCACAGCCTTTGCGAGTCGAGCATCATGCCTGCGACACGTTCGCACAATGTCTCAACGGTCTCCTCGTTCTTGCCCGACCCGATCAACGTCATTTGCTTTTCGGTTCGATGAATTACCAGTGTACTACTGCGGCTTCTGCCGCCACGAGGATACCGAACTACACAGCCATCTGGACCACGTGCAGCAGCACGCGCCTGGCCCTGTCAAAGCACAGCATCAGCCGAGTCACGAGCCGCAGGGCGACGAGCACGATGTGGCGATCGTACGGAGAGAGAAGCGGAGGAAGACCACGATCGGAGACGATGGACCGCGACGCCAGCGCATCACAGTCACCCAGCAAGTACGGAGGTGGCAAGGGGAAGAAACTCAATGGCAAGTCGAATGGATCCGCCAACGAGGTGAGCAAGGACGACGAGATGGTGACGATCGAGAAGCTGTGCCTCAACAACGCACAAATCGTGCGACAACTCTCGGGCAGCTTGTGGGACTTCTACCTGGTAGAGGGAGAGCACACGCCGTCGGAGGCGGGAGCCAACGAGGGCCAAGAGTACGCCAACAAGGTACAGAACGGAGCGAAGAACATGGGCTCGCCGCACGTGTACATCGGAGCGACGTTCTTCGAGGAGCTGGCCAGCCTGACTACTACGCCGTCACCGTACAAAGAGACCCTCGAGCAGTTCGCCATGCTGATCAACGTCATCCACGTGGACCATTTCGGGGACATACTGCCGTACTTCAAGGTCAAGAAGGCATACAGCGAGGCAGGGATGGGCACGAGATGGAAGATACACATTCTCTTCAACGCGCTGGCGATGAGCCCGTGGACGGAGGAGAACGAAACCAAGATCAACCAGCAGCGCGAGGCACAAGGACAGACGCCGATCAAGCTGGAGCAAGCTCAGACCTACCACCTACGCCAAGCGACACACGTGGCCATCACGAACAGCGGGGGCAATGCCATCGTGGGGGCGCCGCCGCCGAGTGCACTGGAGCGCCGCCTACAGAACTACCTGCGCGAGAGGCTCGCACACAGGTGAGGCAGACAGTAGGTCGATCAGCAGCCAGCAAGCAGGCAGCAACCAACGAGGCAAGCAAACAGCAAGTAAAAATTCACGAGCTTAGGCAATTAGCAGCCAAAGGCAGCGTGAGGGCAGCAGAGCTGCTCTCGAGACTCGGCAAACGCAAATGACTGTCTGGGGGTGTGTGGGGGGAGCTGTCTGGAGGAACATTTGCGCAGCCGAGACTCGTGCAGCGGCCCGTAGAGTAGCTAGAAGTATCACGCGTATAGGCCTCGGGGCCTTGCGGACTATGAGATTTGATGAATACACAGGCTCACGCCAGGACGTGCCAGCAGCCCTCATGGAGGCCTTGCGAAGGGTCATCCTCTCTTTTGTTGGGCCTCCTGTCATTTCTCTTGTATAGGGCCTCCTTTCCTCAGAACAGTGCTGCCCAGCAGCTCACATCGGACTTCCTCCGAGGCTGCTGAAGCACTGTATAGAGATGAATGTGCCCAGACGAACGGGCAGAGATCGGCTTTGGGGCGGGAGTTGGTGTTGGTGGTGGGGGGTGGGAGTGGTTCCTTCATAATGCAGCGACGAGTAGAAACGACCGGCTTCGACTCAGGCAAATAGCGTTTCTTCCGACCCAAGTGCGGTGGGGATGGGCCACAGTGTCATAAACCACCGCCCTGGACTGAGTGTTTTGAGTATGGACACAGGGGGTTCGGCCCTGAGCCGAAGTGGGCCCAAGGCCTCGTCGGTCAAGAGGGTCCCACAGGCTCCCTCGAGTGTCCGCCTTTAAACCTGCCAGCAGTAATCCGACTCGCTGAAAGCGAGTTACACGCGAATCGAGTTTCCCGACCCGAACCGCGCCGCTGCCGAGGCTCTCGACTCGACTCGACTCCTCCTCGTTCTCCTCCTCCTCATCCCCCCCCTCCTTCTCTTCCTCCCTCTTCTTCTCCTCCTCCTCATCCTCTTCCTCCCCCCCCCTCCTCGTCATCATCAGCATTATCAGCATCCCCATCATGGTCATCATCATCAACATCACCAGGATCACCACCATCATCATCATCATCAACATCATCAGAATCATCAGCAGCATCATCATCATCTGCATCATCATCAGCATCATCATCACCATCCTCATCATCATCAGCATCACCACCATCCTCACCATCATCATCATTATCACCATCCGCCTCCTCCTCCTCCTCCTCGTCCTCGTCTTCGTCATCCTCCTGCTCCTCCTCCTCCCCCTCCTCGTCCTCTCCGCGCTCCTCCTCGTCCTCGGCGGGAGGTGCAGGTTACGCAGCCTGCCATGGAACCCGAGCCTTGGGGTTCCTCCCGCCGCCGCTGCCCTTCTCCCCCCTCATTTTTTTCCCGTTCGGGGCGGGGGTTCCCTGGTGCGCGGCTAGGCGGTCTTCGTGGGCCCCTGGCGACCGCCGCGCAGGAAAAGCCAGTGGCAGCATAGGGCACGGGGGCTGCCTGGGACGCCAGCGGCCCCGACCGATGCCCTTTCCCACCCCCTCTCCCCGCAGCGTGGAAGGGGGCGCCCCCTGGGCGCAACGCCGTCCAGGGAGGCTTTGCGCCATGCGAGCGTCCTCTGAGGGTGTCGCCGCCCCTCAGTTGCATCGTGGCTGCACTGTGGATGTTAAAAATCGTCCTCCCCGTCCTCCTCGTCCTCCTCGTTCTCCTCCTCCCTCCCTCCCTGCCTCCTTCGCCTCCTTCCCTCCGTCCTCTTCCTCCTCCTCCTCCTCCTCCTCCTCCTCTTCCTCCTCTTCCTCCTCCCCCACCTCCTCCTCTTCCTCCTCCTCCTCCTCCTTCGGCTCTTCCTCCTCCTCCTCCTCCTCACCCCCGCCAGCTTTCTTCATTGTGTGCGAACGCAAAGCGTTTGGAACACGGAGCCGTGGTATCGAACGCGAAGCGTTTAGATAACGGATTCGAGTTTGTCTTCGTCGTTGCGCCCATGGGCACGCGTTCGACCACTGTTATTCGCGAGCAGCGGCCCGCGCAAGTGAAACCATGTGAAACTACCGATGGAGGCCAGCCATACATGTGAAACGTGTGAAACGAACGATACAATATGCAACCATGTGAACATATTGAGGCACTTGTTGCGTGTGAAACTATCGATGCAAATGACGCTATGCGAAACTAAAGTGTCAACATGAATTCATACATCCACTTCGTCAACCACGTCTCCGTGAATTTAGGGCGGAACAGTCCAGACGCCCTAACCTTGCTACAATAATTCTCCGATTCGTCTGTGAAATTGGCCGTGCAACCTGGGTTCCCGCTCCATTCCGCTTGCTGGCGCATGTGGCATCCGAACGCGTGCCACTTCATGGCTACTGGATACCCGTTTTCGACCCACTTGCGAAAGCACGCGTCCGTCAGCTGACCAAGCTGGGCCAGCGCAGCTGGCGACATCTGTCGGGGCCCTGACCTGCAAAGGTTGATGTACCCAACCATTGAATTACCACACTCCAGCAACGCTGAGCCTGCTCCAGCGTTTGAACGGTTGATGAGGGCGGCCCCGCCCTTGACTTCCAACAGGTGGACGAAGGCGGGCAACAAATACCTCGTCCTGGCAGCTTTCAAAGCGATCTTTGGGTTGTCACTTGTCACGTCAACCTGTGCCGTTGAAATGCTGGTCACGCGAACGTCGGTTGGTGTTCTGTGCTGCTCATAATATAGATCAAGGGCTTGCTGCAACTCAATGTCCGCACTGTCTGGCTCCAACTCGTTCCAATATCCGAAGAATCCCACCTTTAACAGCTCGACCAATACACGGGCGATGAAATACTGGGCGATTCCTAATTCCACCAAGTGCATGGAATCGTAAATGAAATGTTGGGCAGTCAGCCCCTTGATCCCCATCTGGCCTGGGATGTCCATGAGCCTGTTCACGAACAGAACGCCATTCTGAGGGCGACGATAGAACCAACATCGTCGCTTCGCTGGCGGAAAATCACACAAGCGCTCTCCATGCACAAAGTCGGGCTCGCCGATGAAGGTCGGTTCCAAGCGGTCTCCCCGTTGGGCGTCTGGCAAGCCGTCAAGCTTCCGCTTTAGCACAAGGCCGCCCTTCCCGCGCCGCCGATCCAGATTCCTCAAAAGGACAGGCGCCTGCGCCTCGGCGAGTGGCACATCGAACAAGCAAGTCCTTGCGATGTCGCAAAACCACTGGCGGGGCCGAGGCGCAGCTGTTTGGCCCAATTGGTTGAGGCCGTCCTTGTGCACGAAACGCCGCAGGCACCCGTGCCTGGCACGATGATGGGGCATGCCGAGTGTTTTCGGAAACTCGTCGAGGTCCGCGCACACCTCGACGCAGACAGCTCTTATCAATTCTCCAGTGTCGGCCCTGTCGAACAGAGGCGCGTTCGCAACGAGAGCCCTTCTTGACCCAGCGGGCCAGGCTCTGCCGTTCACGTCCGTGGATGGGAACGAGCCGCTCGCAGACACGTTGAACACCCATGATATCGTTTCAAGCAACTTCTGGATAGCGTGGGCCCCTCTGCAGCCGCATTTGCACATGGGGCTCCCTGGGTAGGATCCAAGTGGTATCCGTTGCTTTTGGCCAATAACAGACGCAAAAAACCGCGCGCCATTGTAGCGACCTTGCGCGCTCAGCGTCACATTCTGCCCCCTGTCATCCTCATCAGTTTCCTCCTCCCTTGCTTTCTTGTTTACGCTGGACCGACCTTAGCTGCAAGATGTGGCGCTGTAATTCCTTAGCTGCATCTTCCTTGTCCTCCTCCCCCCCTTCCCCCTCCTCCTCATCGCCACCCGCCTCCTCGTCATCCTGTTCCTCTTCCTCCTCATCCCCCCTCCTCCTCCTCTTCCGTCTCCTTCTCCCGCCTTCTCTGCCTGCGCCTCCTCCGCCTCCTCCCCCTCCTCCGCCTCCTCTTCGTCCTCCTCCTCCTCCCCCTTCTCCTCCTCCTCCCCCTCCTCCCCCCCCTCCTCCTCCTAATCCCCCTCCTCCTCGAATTTTGCGCTTGGGATCGGCGGCAGGGACCATCGAGCGCTTATATATTCAGCGCAGAAGCATGCCCGTCGATTCGAGCGTAATCGAGAAACAACCTGAGAGGGATGATGTTTTCCCCACCGCATGTGCGAGCGAGTTCGTTGTCCCAGAAACTCTCGCAAAGGATCCGAGGGTTGGATCGGTGACTGAGAAACTCATGGCTTTTCTTTGGAAACAAGAGTGCGAGGACCTCATACACAGGCAAAAACGGCAATGGTCTCAGTTTTTTTTTCTGCTTCCTGACATGAACGGGCGCCTGAATCCACATCGAGCTCTCTTTGGCCACAACGTCAAATCCCAAAGCTGTCTTCAACGCTCGAGTTGAATTCCTGCTATGCGCCAGGTCACGGCCGATGTCTGCAACGCCTTGCCCACCAGCTTTACTAATCAAATGCGATAAATGAACAGCCATGGCCGCCGTCAACCGCCCCGAGAGGTACAGCCCCAACAACGTACCCCTCAGCACCGCACCATGGTCAGTATTGTCGGGCGGCGCCTCGAGCAGACTAGGTGCTTTCCTCCTGGCGTCGGCCACGCCGCCCGACATCGAAGGCGAAGACAAGATCTGCCGCGCCCTGGTTCTCAGCTCAGCGCGGCGCTTGCTCTTCGGGCTGGGTGGCTTCGAGGAGGGGCCATTCGCAGCGGCCCGACTCGCTGTCGGGCGGGCCATGCTCCAGAATGGAATTCCCACGGGACTTGGCCAAAATGGCTACGGATGGACGTCGCGCCCCGATATGGTGGCAAGCTTTGACTCCAGATCCGCCCTGCGTTGGCTTTTCTTCCAACTTAGAATTGCGTCGGGAATCCACCTATAAGAGGACGAACAAGTAAGGCGGACATTTCTGCACCCAGCGTAACGTAGGGCGGAAATCCACAGAAGTAGGGCGGAAACAGCAGCAGAAAAGTAGGGCGGAAATGGCAAGCCCTACCCACGAACTTCCCCAAAGCAGGGCGGATCTGGAGTCAGGGAGGTGTCGCGGCGCACCTGTCAGCCAAGGTGCCAGCGCGCACCCTTAAGCCAAGTGGGCACGCCTTCGAGCCACGGGAAACGGGTGGCCAACCACGGCAGAACGCCTTGCGAACGGCACATGCAGGGAGGGCAGTTTGTGCGCGTTTGTCGCGAACCTTGTGCGGATACCCCAAGGGAGATGGTGTTTGCGTTGT